AAACGGTATACTTGCCGGATAGCATCAAGAGATCGATTCAATCTCTCTGCCACCCCATTCTGTTGAGGTGAGTAGGGCGTAGTTTTTTGCCTTGCAATCTCATTGCTCGCACAGAACCGGTCAAATTTTGTTGAACAGAATTCTCCTCCATTGTCAGTTCTCAACACCTTGATTTTTCGTTCAAACTGATTTTCCACCAAAGCCTTGAACTCGCTAAACTTATCGAACACTTCATCATTGCTGCACAAGAAATATAACCACACATATCTTGAAAAATATCAGTAAAAGAAACATAATACCTTGATTTTCCATGTGATGCTACAGGTGTGGGGCCAAAAATATCGTTGTGTATCAGGTCTAGAATCCCCTCAGCTCTTCCTCTTATGGAATCAAAAGATACCCGATTTTGCTTCCCTTGCAGGCAATGCTCGCAAAATCCAAACCCTATAGAGCAACTCAGAATTCCATCCACCAGTTTCTTTGATGTCAGAGTCTCCAGACCTTTTCCTCCAATATACCCCAGCCTCCTATGACATAACATAGCAGTGTCCTCCTCCGCCTGTTCCGAAACATAGCTTTCACCACTAAATACTGTCCTACCCAGCAATTTCCACAATTTACCATGGCGCTCTCCTTTTGCAATAACCAAAGCTCCTCGAGTCAGCTTGCAAGAATACTTGTCACTGTTGAAATTAATACCAGCATCTGCCATACTACCAACGGAGATCAGATTTTTGGTAAGCCCCGGAATATGCATCATGCCCGACAGATTCTTAACTGTCCCATCACTCATCTTCAGCTTTACCTTCCCACAGCCCATAATAGCATGACTCGTGTCATCTTCTATTCTAACTGTACCGCCAGAATATGATTCATAGGTGCAGAACCACTCCCTATGAGGTGTCATATGAAATGATGCTCCAGTGTCAATAATCCAGTCATTACAGTCACAATGACTTTCAAACGCCATGTACAGGTCCCCTGTACTATCATCATCATCCTTCTTTGTACTCGAAGTAGAAGGTTGTGAATCATCCCGCTTCTCAGGACCTACGCTTTTACTTTTGACATTTCTTCTCAGATGTCCAACCTGTTTGCACCTCCAGCACCTTATTTCAGATTTATCATATTTATCACGGGACTTTGACCATCCCCTCGATCTTCCTCTGTGACTAGATTTTGATTTGTCAGCACTCCTCCCTCTAGCAACCAAATCCTCATTGTTGGTACCTTCAGAACTTACCCTTCTCATCTCCTCAGACAATAAGGCATCAACAACCGTCTCGAACGACAGTTTATTAACACCAGTACCAATTGACATAATGATGTACTCCCAAGAGTTGGGCAATGAACACAACAAGGTGCAAGTTTTGTCTTCCTCATCCAGGTTGATGTCTATAGATGAAAGTTGCGCACAAAAATATTAAATTCATTTAAATAAGCAGAGAAAGAATCACATTCACTCATCCGCAGATTATACAGCCTCCTTTGCAGGAACAACTTGTTCACGAGTGACTTGCTCTAATAGAGACCTCCCAGCTTCGTCCAGAGATCCTTTGTGGTCTTCTCAGAAGTTACGTTCACCAGAACGTTATTTGCCAAGCATAACCAGATTAGTCTTCACACCTTTCGATCATCTCTGGTTCACGCCTTCAACTCCTTCGACTCGCCTTCACCTGTCGTTCCATCACCGACAGGTTTTGTTGGTACCGATGGCTTCTCATCTTCGATCACGTACCACACGTCCCTGTCAACGAGCAAAGCCTCCATCTTCAGCTTCCATAACTCGAACCCTTTTTCTCCGAACTTTTCAACCTCGATCCGTTATTGGCCAGTTGACATCCTCTCCAGATCAATTTCGCAGTTTTCTCTATGCCAAGAAAAAACCCCAAATCGCGAAACCCCAATCTGTCACAGGAACCCCGATCGCAGAACCAAAGCTCTGATACCAAATGTTGAAAATCGACAATCACACAAATCGCAAACGAAAGAGAAAGAAAGAGAGAAAGAGAGAGAGAGATAGAGAGATAGAGAGAGAATAGACACAGAGATTTACCCTGGTTCACCCAATTTAGGCTACGTCCACCTTGTCTGTACTATATTTATCTCACCGCCACTCGTTGCAAGTCACTCGGTTTACAAGAAAAATATAAATATGATTAGAAAACCCTAACAGCAGCTATTCATGGGCCCAAGCCCAAACTACTAAGAAAATTACAATAAATCAGAGGCTTAAATTAGGGACCCCAGTTGCTTTTCTGCTGATCCTGACAGCTACGGCCCTCATCAGCATGCGAAGTATGAGTCATACCCAACAGAGCTAAGTTTTAATGACATTGTTAAGGGAGTGAGAGGACTTTTGAGTAGAGAAGATAAGATACAAATAAAATCTTATTTAAAAAAAATGAAATTTGAAGGAACAAAACGCTTTGGTGGCTTACATAATCATTCAATGAAAAATAAATAATTTTAATTTGAAGTGACAAAGGATACGGTAGGGGTTGTTTGAGCTTAACCAATAATTTGAGTTTGAGTTTATGAAAGTGTAGTTGTGTTAAAATTTAATAAGGAGAGCTTTGTTGTTCATATAATCTTATCTGGTTCAAATCGAATTAGACGAGTAATCAATAAATTAATATATAATATAAGAAAAATGATAATAATAACGATAGGAAAGGGTATTGGTAATCAATTTGACAATCTACACTTTCGTAAGGTCGAGAGTTTCAAACCCACCATTCTTTTTAAATAGTAAACTAGCCTGGCTTCAAATATAAAGGGACAACTGTAAGGAAAAGCTAAAGAGATGAATAACAAGTCATTTAAAAAAATGGACAGAATAAAACAAAGTAACCGATTAGGATTCTATCCCTTTTTCTTTTTAAATATAGATTATTAAGATATCATCTATGCGTAGAATGTAGACTATGGACCTTTAATTAAATGCCCCTGTGAAATTCTAAATGTGTATTAATTTGTAGTTTTAAACCAACTAATCTTTAATATTACTATTTTTTTTAAAAAAAAGGCAAAAGAGAAACAGAAACAACAAAAGAAATTCACATGTATGGGTGTGAATGGGCTAAGCCGGCTTACAGGGGCCTATAACTTAGTCTATATCAGGTTAGACTTGACTTATTACAAATAGTAAAATAGAACAAGTCTAGACTTTTAAAAAAATCTATTTAGAAAACAAGACATAAGTTTTTTTATACATGTTGGGCCTATAAGCTTATAGACCGGCCTGTATCATATTATTTATTTTAAATAAAATTATTATTTTAATAATTTAGAATGATAAAGTAATATTATTTTAGTTATTTTTTTATTGTTGAATGTTTAATAGACTTAAACAGACTAACATGCTTAAGCCAAAATTTTTATTTTTAAAATATAATTCATGCCAAATTTGTAATTTGAGACCTATATAGACTAACAAGTCAAGTCAAACCTAATATGATTTACACAAAACTAGCCTATTTAAGCTAAAGCCTAATTTAGCCTAGCCTATTTATATTCTTGAGACGAAGGAATATAAAGCAATATTAAGGGCTCGTTTGATGGACATGATAGGATAAGGGTAGGATATGATATGAGGCTGATAATGGTAGGATATGATATAGGGCTGATAAGCCTATATCATGTCATGTGTTTGATGAGCACCTAATTAACAATCTGATAAAGTTATGTAGAAGGAAAAAGGAGAAAGAAAAAATAAAATATAATGCAATAAATACAAATATATTGGGTAGCGTGAGGATATATTGGGTAGCGTGAGAATATATTGGTATCCAATATTGATATCCTATCCTGTTGAATCTTAACCCAGCTCCCGTCATAAGATAAGAAATCATGTATTGGATAGGATAAAATGAGACAATAGGATAAGCTAATCATATCCTATTGACCCATCAAACAAGAGATAAAAGTAGGATATGATAAATTATCATATCATATCTTTTTTATCAAGTGTTCCAAACAGGTCCTAAATACTATTAATTTCTAACTAACAGCTTAATAAATATAAGTTTTAATGAATGCATACTGTGTGAGGATAGTAGGTAAACATAAAGGGTTCGTTTTTCTACGGTCAACTTTAATTTTTTACCGTTAATGTATATAATTTATTTACATTAAGTTCAAAACTGTGTTATTCTGGGATAAAAATCAAAGTATTTTTGTAATTATAATTTATTTTAGATTTATAATAATCTTTTTTATTATAATTTTTTAACCCAAAATAACATTGTTTTGGAATCAAATATGGATAATACTATATAAACATTAAAGTCAAACATAAATGGTCGAGTCACAAACTAATTTTCAAAACTTTTTTTGTTCAGCGCTTAGTAATTGATGTACAACAAGGAAAAAAATGATTCATTTTATTTTATAAATATCTACTGTTGGATAATATTATAATTGAATGATATTGAAAAATAGATAAATGGAGACGAAATAAGGATAGGTAAAATAATTTATTTTATTTTTTCATTAATATTAAGTAAGGTGAAAATACTTCTGCACTTTGTCTGTGCAATAAATATTTGTCACGGTTGCAAAAAAATTGAATAAAATGATAAAATAATTGTTATAAAACTTTTAGTGTGGTGTATTATTTGTGTATAATAGATTCAAAATAATTAAAAAAAAGTGTTGTCATTTTAAATGCCATAGAGTTATGTCATTGTAAGAGAGATAGGCACAAAAAAATATTTTTTTATTTAAAATTTAAATTAAAAAAAACCACTCACTTTCTCTCTCATGATTTTTATTTTTGGTGTCTATCTTTCTCTTAAAATGAAATAACTTATATCATTTAAAATGACAAACATCAAACCCTTAAAACAAATTATAAATTTTTATAAATAATTACAAAAATTTAGACTAACACAAAAGTTTTTTTTTTTTCTTTATTCTTTTTTCAATTAGTGTATTGTCCTTATTTATTAGCAAAAGATTATATTTATTTTTTTCTATGTATAGGTCATCTCAAGAGAGTGGCATCGTTGAAATGATTTGTGTGTTGGGTTTGTGAAGAATGGGAATGGCCATGAAGAAGGGTCTTTGAGGAATACTCTGAAGAAAAAGTTCTTGTCTGTCGGCGGCAGAGGAAGGTGGTGTTTCCATGGCGGCGGACACTTCGAAAGAAGAGTTGTTGCAGCTCATCAAACGCATCACTTTTAAGATTTCCAATCTCTTCGTATTCTTCCTTTTCATCTTTATTTCATTTTCTGCCGATCTGATTCATACCCCCCAACCCCCCCTTTAAATTTTTTCTCTTTTTTCTCATTTCTGTTATCTAAAGTTTTGTTCTTTTTTCTATTTGGCTCCTTGTTTTCACGCTAATGTGTGAATTTCGATTTTATTGACCAAATTATTGATTGGGCATAGTATAATTCTTGATTAAAGCTCCGAATCTTTTATTTATTTATTTAAAATTTTGATTTTGGTGTTTGTTTGTTTTTTGTGACTATAAATAAAACTCAAGTGAAAGTTAAGAGGAACTATGATTTAGGAAAATGAAGAAAAGAAGGTACTTTGGCACAGTTGAGGACTTTCATTTTTCTGTTCATGTTTTGTTGTTTAAATGGAAAATTAAGAAATGTTATGTTAAACTATGGAAAAATGGTCTCTCTATTCATAGTTGTGACTTTACTGCACCATCCAAGTCTTTTGTATCAGGGGAAGTTGGAATTTGGAAGCTATAGAAATGTAGGGCTTTTAGATCTGTTTCTCTGTGTGTCTGAGTGCATAGTTTTTTCATTGGAGCACATCTCTTCCAATAATGTTGCAATTTTTGTTTTTTGGTTCTTTTTACTTTTGTGGTAGTTATATATACCCCTATTTGGTTAATTGGGTATCTCATCTTTGTTTGGATGAGTGTAATATGAACTACCATCTTTGGATGGTCAAACTTTTGGGATCCTCATTCATTATGCTCAACTTGGTATTAGGATTCACAGTCTATTGGGGCAGTTGCTGGTCTTGCCATTGCAATTTTTTTCACCTGGAGGCTATTGAGATCACCTGGTGAATCTCAACGCAGGCAACGAAAACGGCAAGCTGCTACTTCTAGTAGTCCTGGAGTTAGTACACATTCAAATGCCTCTGTAGTTCCTTCTGGAGTTTGTTCATCCTCAGCAGACTCAAGGGCACAAAATGTAGTCGATGAGTTCTTTCAGCCCATCAAGGTAAATGTCCTTGTCTTGGGTTGATTTGATTGCTTTGTGTATGATTGGCATTTATTAGCGTGCTCCCTCCTATTTTTCAGCCTACCTTGGGCCAGATTGTTAGGCAGAGGTTGAATGAAGGAAGAAAGGTAATTAAACATATCCTCTGACTTTAGATATACCGACAAATTGCATAACTTTATTGCATTTATTGGCTCCCCGTTTATTTTTCTTTGTCCTTGCTAGAGAGGATTTTTTATCCTCCTTTTTTACTTTGCCCTGCCTTTTCTATCTAATAATATTTTTTATTTTATCCAAAAAAAGGACCTACAGCGATATTCTGTTTTGATCATTTTGTAAAAGATATTTCTTAATGTGAAGTGATTAAAGCCACATGAGTGCTAATCTACTATGATATACTTAAAGATTTCCTGGATTAAAGGATTCTGTAACAAATAAGTATTAGACGAAGCCTCTCAAATAAATTAAATGGATGGTTTTGTTGGTAAAATTTGTTGTTTTGGTACTTGCCTTTTTGTGTGTCCAATTAATGTGAGAAAACTGATTAATGTCTAATAATAGATTTGAGAAATAACACTTGGGGAATGACATCACAATTTCTTGAACATTTTGGAAAAAACTTAGAAAGAGAAAAAAAATTAGAAATCATATAATGCTGTGTAGACCATAGTAATCTGTTAGATGATATGTTCTTGCATCATGATTTCCAGTTACCCAAAAAAAAAAAAACTTTATTTCCAACTTATGATATAGCTCAATAAGATACTATTATTCTATTTTTCATGACTAGTATGAATAAGACATGTTACGTACCTGTCTTTATGCAACATAGGTTCTTGATGACACGAGGAATATTTATTGTACAAGTTTGAGTTGTTACCCATTGGTACGGTCAATGTTTACTCCATTGTATTACCAAATTTTATGCTATATTCTGTATTATATTTGTATGTAGGTAACTTGTCGTCTTCTCGGAGTGATCCTTGAGGAAAGTAGTCCAGAGGAGCTTCAGGTGGTTTGATTTTCCAGTTTTTGTATCTTTTTTAAGACATTAATGTGGACAAAGTTATTAGTGTGGTTCATTCTGTTCTTGGCAGAAACAAGCGACTGTGAGGCCCGCTACGCTTGAAGTATTGTTGGAAATAACAAAATTTTGTGATTTATATCTCATGGAACGAGTTCTGGATGATGAAAGTGAGGTGTGTGTCATTTGTCAGCCTACATCACATCCATCATGTCTTAACTCTTATCTGATGACCTTAATGGGATTGACGAGCAACACTTCATTATATGAAGCTTACTTTTTCCATCTTCCAACTTAGTTGATGGGGAAATTTTTTTATAGCCAAAGATTCTGTGAAAATGAACTAAGAAATTGTATTGCTGCTTGAGGTGAAAACTCTTACACTAGGATTCCTTGTGTGTGCAACTGGTATCGTTTCCCTTGTTGATGTCACATTAGATATATGAATCTCCAATATAATTTTCTTAACTCTTATATTTGAATTTGGCTGGCTTATCCATCTCAATCCCACCATGCAGCACATATAGCAGCTTATTACCATGGGCCTGTTTGTTTGTGCTTTTTTATAAGAGAAACAGGTCTTTTCAATTAAAAAACAGGTCTAAATTTTTTAATAATAATTAAGTAAGTTTTTTGGAAAAAGAAAAAACCTTTAAAAAAGCTGTTTTAATGCTTTTCTCATATGCTAGAAGCCTAGAAATATTAACTTCTGAAAAAAGCTATATCAAAAAAATGCTTTCTTTTCAAAGCTTATCCAAACGCACCCTATATTGGAATTAGTAATTTGATTTTGAACTTGTTGAGATTGTACATTTCTTACAGTTGTTAATGATCGTGTACAAACTAAAACTGCTTCTTGGCCTCCCTGTAGTGTTTCCCATGTTGCCTTTCTATTGGCGCATTTTTTGAAATTTAATACGGTTTTTGCTTTATGTATCATTATTTCTGCAGAAAAGAGTTCTTGTAGCATTAGAAGATGCTGGGGTATTCACTTCAGGTGGTTTGGTGAAGGACAAGGTATTTGAATATGCCTAAAGAAATATACACTTTTGTTCTTTGTAGAATTTAACTATCTTCTTGCAGTGGCTTTGCTGGGCACTTTGTCTGCCAAATGCTATATACATAAGTCTTTTTGCACTTTATGAGGACATTGTTATACGTGCAGGATGCATATTGATGGGCAGCATAAGATTATGTTTTGATAATATTTAAAAATGTATTAATATTAGTTCTGACAGTGAACACTATTGGATTGAAATTTTGTATTCAACCTTTTTATATGGAGACATGTTGATCGAAGATGGCCTAAATGAATTTATGCTAATTTAGAAAGTATATGTAGAGAGAAAAACTTTGTATACGGTTCTTTCCCAGATGAATGACAATACATGTGGGGAGACCCAACACAAACTCAATGTAGAATATTGCCCTAGAAATGGGGTCTCATTTTGTTTAAAAAATAAAAGTGTCAGTGATCATTTTATACTTGTTTCTTAGTGTTCTTTTTAAGAAGTCGTTGAAACCTAAAGTTCTGTAGTATTTGGTCCCGTTGGTTGTGACTTTATCCTCATCTGGTGTGCAAAATTATAACTGTTTGATTATTATGTTTGGTTCAACAATCATGAAAAAGGATTGGAGAAATGTTGCAAAATCATATGGTAACAATGTATATTCACTGGATTCTGATTTGTTGCACATATATATCACAAAAAATTTATCTACTTTTTCCTCGGATACCTACATGCAGGTCCTCTTCTGTTGCACAGAGAATGGACGGTCATCATTTGTTCGGCAATTGGAACCAGATTGGCATATCGACTCAAATCCTGAAATTATCTCTCAGCTAGCTGTATGCTACTATACATTCTCAACTTTGTTTAGCAATTATCAAGTTCATGCTCTAATATGATAGCCATATTGTTATATTTTTTTTGGTATAAAATATCCTAATGTATATCATCTAATGATTAATACTTATCATGTTGCAGAGATTTATCAAGTATGAACTTCATGTCTCTTCTTTTAGAACCGAACGAACTGCTGCTAATGTGTTCACTGCTCCGTCCCTGGAACAGTTCTTTGGATCCATATGAAATTCAAACAATTAAAATTGGGATGTTATTCATAAATTTATACTAGTTTGTTGCTATTTGCATATTGGATTCCAATGTCACCATACATGTTTTTTTCACCTTAGACATTTAAGAACTAGGTTAGATATTCAAGCTTAGTTGGTGCTCACCCTAGGTAGGTGAAAGACCTGCTGTGTATCTCTGTAAAATGCTTTAAGGAAGAAATTTCTTTCGCTCTCTTTTTTTCTTTTTGGGATTTTGGTTTGAAATTTGTGCTTTGGAGTGGATCTCATCACATGCATACTGTTATATTTTGATCATAGTTACATGATATGCCATCATAGACAATTGTTAATGATCATCCTCCTAACTTTACCGGAAAGTTTATTGGTTCTTGAATCTTTGATTGTGAAGTTACGAAACCTTTGTTCTTGTAATTGGTCCTCTTTCAGGTTGTTGCATTTCGATATGTCGAAAGTTTGTGATGGCCAATCCATAATGCATGTTCAGTTTGTAAATTTTTTTAGTAGTTTGTGTAGGTTGTAAAACTCCAAATTCAATATCTCATTTTTTTTAGTATTTTGTAGATGAGTTTGTGAGTAAAGTGTATGTCCAAACAATCTTTAAAGATCACATTTATTGTCTTTCTTATTTCTTCTGCATAATGTAAGGGTATGAAAACCATTCGTATCTCTTCATTTAACAATTTAAACTTTTGGGAGTTGGTGGTGTACTTGTTCACGCTTCATGTATTCTTTCGCACTCAACAACTTCATATTCTGAGAGTTTCTTCACGGCAAATACAATGATTTTAAATTTAGTCACAAAAAATTTGATTGGGTTTTTACCATTTGAGTTTTTGTGGAAAACTTCTGATATACTCGTTGGAGTGGGAAAATACTGACATTTTCTTTTAGAGGTGGATTTTTCATCCTCTATAAGCATAATAATAGGGGAGTGAATCCTAAATTTTACTTAACTTATCAACAAAGCTCGGCATAGTTGTTAAATGGTTAGCTTTTTTTACGTATGTTGATAAGGATTCAAATTTTGGCTATGTGTATGAAAAATGTTTTGTTGGTAGAGGTAAAATTTATTTTGGTGATTTCTACGCATCAAAATAATTAGTCTTTGGTTATCGGTGGAAGGATATCTTGAGAAAACTATAAAAAATAAATAAAAAAATTAGGTAATTTGGTAATGTGAAATTTGTGTTTATCTCTTTGGCTCATATATATTAAATTGGTGGATTTTAATCATCATTAATGAAGAAAGAGATAAATACAAAATTTTTATATAATTAAATAATATAAAATTTTAACATAAAGAGTTCATTTTTTATATTTTGAGTGTTAGCATATGATTCACAAATAAGTATTTAACGCAGCGATTCCATGGCTAAGATACTCTTAAAAAAGATTCTTCTAGGATGAAGGAGTACGTAATAGAACATTTGTCTAGAAGATAAAGATACCTCTTATTTGCAAAATATTAAATCATTTTATTATGTAAAAAATAAAACTGAATTCCCTTATTATTCAAAAAGTCTTACACGTGGGATACTTGGAAATCTACAATCACAACATATAAAAAAATAAAATAAATTACTGACAATAATTATTGACCGAAAGTGAATAATTATTTCATCTCCAAGCCTAATTATCATTTCAATAATTAAAGGATCTAAGGTTTCAGCTATTAAAAAAAAAATCTAAGGTTTCTCATATTATAAAAAGATAAATTTATTTATAAAAAATACGGTTTTATGTACTTTTATATATGTACACAGAAATACAATGTGAGAAAATCAAAAATATACCAAATGATGGTAATTTACTTGGTATCAGAAAATTAAGTAAGTAGAGTAAGAAAATATGTTCGATTTTTTCTAGTACTATTTTTGAAAGGAATTTAAAATCTTAAGTTTGAAACCTGTCCATATAAAACTAGTCGCGAAGGGACGAAGTAAATGAAATATTTCAAAAATAAATAAATAAAGAGAAAAATGTTTCTTATTTTAAATGACAGAAATTTATGTCATTTTAAGAGAGATACAGATACAGAAAATTTGAATTTTAAATTAAAAAAAATCACCTACTTTCACTCTCCCATGATTTTCATTTTTCTGTGTCTATCTCTCTACTAAAATGACATAACTTATGTCATTTAAAATGACAAACAAGATACCCATAAATAAATAAATCAGAAATACATAAACACTAAACCCATCATTAAATTAACATAGCCCTAACATGAGTCAAGTCGTTGAACCCTCTGAGTCTCAGGGACGGAGCTTCTAAAATTATTTCGTAGTGCGAAGTGATACTTCTCACTACTTTACACTTTTCTCATTCAATCTTCTACTTCAAGGTAACTTTGATTCCCCTCCGGTTTGCGCAGAACGTGAGCAATTTTCTCTCTCTCTCAAATTTTTTATATTTTTACGATTTTTTTTCTTATTATCTGGTTCGCATTTGCTCAGCAACAACACAGTTGGCACGATTTTTGGGAAATTTAGGATTTAGGGTTATGTCTTTTACGCGAAGGAATTGAAGGCTGATATTGATTATTTTTCTATCGAATCATTGGTACACAGCATTGTTTTTCGCGTTGAAATAGTTCAAGATGGTTGAACGAAAGCAGTTCAAGACGAGGTTATGTGTGCTCTATCAGAGAGGACGCTGTACGCGCCAAAATTGCTCCTTCGCACATGGGAATGCCGAGCTTAGACGATTCCCTGCCTCATATAATGGTATAATTTTCTTCTTTGCATTGCCCATTTGTGATTCTTTGTTTTTTTTTGTTTCTGGTGGGTTTGTTTTGTTGAGTCTATATCTTGTGGATTGAGGTGAGTGGGACATTTGATATATGGTTGATGTTTGTTGAGGGATGTTTGATGTTTGCATAATGCATTGGAAGCAAGGCACGACAGTTTGATTTTTGTTACTTGGATTTTGGGTGGCAGTGCCTTAGACAAATGCATAGCTTGTTAAGGCCTTTTGTGTGTAATAGTGTATGATAACAATTTTCCTGAGTGAAGAAAGAAGGTTATTTGTTTTGTGAAGGTGTCGAGCTCTTTTATTTGAGTAGAATTTTATCACCAGGAAAAGTGGGAAACCACATCAAAAATAAATAAATAATGGACAAATTGGTCTGTCCGCCAGTAGTTAATCATTAAATTTTGTAGGGCATTTTAAACTAAAGGTTTCTTATTGCAATTTATGTTGCATGCGGTCTGCTTGAAAAATAAGGTGAAGCTTAATAATAAAGACTGGATTAACAGAAGTTTTCAGAATGTTAAATATTGCCTTTGAAATCATCACATTCATCGTTCTCCTTCTCGGTCACTATAGTTGCTTTATATATATGTAATACTGATTGTTGATATGTTACCTATCAATTTTTTTCTATTTATGACTTCTTCCACTCTTATGTGGCTTTTTTGTCACCATTAATGCCATGCTACTATAAGCCCGTTATAACAACAGCTAAGACTGAAAACTCACACCCATTACATTAGGTAGTTCCCTGTCTACAATTCTTATTGCTCGCTCATAGGTAGAGAAAAATATTGGAGATGCTTTTAGTATTAGTTCATTGTTATTTTCTTATCATTATTTTGTCCATTTTTCTTTTGGGAGGAGGAATCACGAAAGAAGTAATTTTATTAAAATGGAAAGGCGGAATGGAATGGAATTGATATACCGAGGAGTATAACACTTCATAATAACCTATCTTTAGCTTTTGGTAATTCGTAATCATAATCCTTTATTTTTTCTTTCCCATTTTGTTCTTTTCATAGTTATCAATTGTGTAGCGGCCCACCCCAAAATCAATAGAGGTATAACCTCTATAGTGAAGTCCACGTAAAGGCTACTACACATATATAAATGCTCAAAAATAAAAATTACCCAAAAATTATGCTGCACATAGGCATCATTGGATGATGCCATGACTTGAGTGGGCTTGCAGCCTTGCTGGAAATACTGGAGCTGAACAAAGAGCTAGAAATTCTGGGCAGATACTTGCTGGAAATTTGAAAAATATGTTAATTCGACAGCTCGGGATAAATTACAAGCAGACGATGAGTCCAGCTTTATCTTCACATATGGTATGGGTTAGGTGAAAATAGAGGAACTCACCTTAGCTAGTTGTGTGTCATTACCTACATTGATGAGTGGGTTGCTGGAAAACAGAGGAGATAATTCACCGATGTTGATCTGTCGTAAAAAACATAGCCAAAGAGAGGAATGAGTGGACTTGCTGGTAAATCACCGAAAATGAGTCACAAGAGTGGAGAGAGGTAGGAGAAAGAGGGAGAGAGGCAAGAAATTCGAGATCGAAAGAGAAGCATACTACATAGGATTTGCAAGTTAAAAAGGGGGTGAGTCGAATATATCCCCGTAAAATTGATTATTGCCCTTCCTTCAGCGTAGCGTCGCAATTGTGTTGCTACGGCTGTGATCTATTACCCTGTGTTTGCAGCCTCTACTAAAAACCATCGCGCCACGCAGCGGAAATAGCAGTTGGGTGCATTACCTGCACTTGTAGCCATAGATGAAAAAAGCGGCGCAATAGAACGCAACAATACTGCATCGGTAGTGGATAGCAGGGCTTAACCACAACAAACCGCACGCAACACTACATTTTAATGTTGCTTGCGGCAGTAGCAGCTGATATTTGCAGTAGCATTTTGCAGGAGTAGCGGCGTGATTTCAGCGCTACTGATGGAGGAAGAGAAATTTCTTAATGTTAAGGGTATTATTGTCCAATACTTTAATTTTCTGGGTAGAAAAGACTTTTACCCCTTTTATTTCTGAACCCTACCTTGTTTACAACTTCAACACTCCAAAATATCAATCTACAGCGCCGCCTTTGTTTCGTTCTCTCTCTCACCCATTTTCTTGCTTCAATCTCTCTCTTTCACCCATTGTCTGACAAGTCTATGGTGACACAACCTCTTTGACTAAGGCAGAACCTCATCTTGCAGATTCTGTTTCAATCTCTGGCATCCATCATTCTCTCTTACTCTGTTTTTTGTATTTATCACCAGTGTGAAGGAGCAGTTCTCTCTCTCTCTCTCTCTCTCTCTCTCTCAATTTGTGGCAAGGGAAACCCAAAAACAATATTTATTCTAATCTCCGATGGGTATTATTACTATTATTAATATATGTGATATATCAGTCTGAAACATATTATTAATCTGTTTTTATATATATATTATAGAATATATTATTAATCTGAGTATATTATTGATATGAATATATATTAATGTTCTATAATATATAATCTGAATATATTATTGATACGAATATATATTAATTTATTTATTATTTTATATTGAATGATTATAGATAATCAGACGGTCAAACCCACACCATCACAATTATATTAATATTTTAATATTAATATTTTAATAAATGTATTAATATTATATGTGTAGCATAATTTAAGTATACCATTTATGCGGACTTTCCTGTAGCAGTAACGCTGCTACCTGCTATAGCATTTTTGAGGTTGTCGCTACCGGCTGCTACCCGTTATTAATAACTATGCTTGTAACGGTATAATGAACGATAGTGCTGCTATTAATAACCTAGGTTCTTTTATAGAGTTTTACAAGGTAACACTTTTTTATCTGCTAGATGTTACTTTTTCTCTCTAAATTTAGGCATTTAGTGGATAATTTGATATGCATTATAACCATAATTCAGTCATTAATTAGTTCAATTATTCTTTCGATTTTGATTCACTACTATTATAAGTATTGCATCTGCTTTGATCACATACTACTCTTGTTTTTCCTCTTAGGAATTTTTCTCGAATAACTCCACCCTTGAGTGGAGGGCAATCAATCAGAGCAGAGCATATAATATATATTTTTTAGCAAATTTTATTTCCATCAAACCACCCGGTTTTTGTTATATTTTCTTGTCTCTATGTCTTTTAATGCAATTTTATATCTTCACCATTTAACCTTTTCCTTTTTTTTTTATTACTTCCTTCCTACAACAATGTCATGCTATATTTCTTTTCTGGATGCCGAGTTCAAAAACATGTTCTCGAATGAAATATTTACACAATTTTGAAGAGCTCACCATGTTTCTTCTTGCAGATATAGGTGACTTGTAGATATGTCCTTAGACTATTTGTAAGCCACTAGTCCTATGTCTTTCCTTGTTTGTGGTGTGGCATCTACATAAACCTAAAACTATTATTCCTGTGATACAAAGCTGTTTAAATGTAGGGCAGTCTAAATCTCATCCCATATTTCTGATAACATGCTGTACTTGCATGGGAAAATTGACTAACGATAAGAAAACAAAGCACTGCATGAAGAGAATATCCTGAAAGAGAAAAATGGGAGGAAATAAATTATTAAGAGACGTGTTAACACTTTCACTGAATTTTGTGTAAACTATTTATTCACATCCCCAGCTTCTTTTGTTGACACACTGTTATTCCATTTGTTTATCACTTTAGCTGGATTCCATATTCTTAAAACACTGAGGATCTGGATACTTATCTGATAGACTGGTCCGTATGTCAATTGATTCTGTGTAAGCAGATACAGAAGCTTAGATATGCAATAACAAATAGCCTGTGGGATTAATTTTGGATTAATTTATTCAATGTGAGGACATCTGATCACATTATCTTGTTGAGACTGTTGCATTTCCAGCAATATGGATATTTCATTTTAATTGAGAGATTCTTCACAATGGATTCTGCTGATTGGTTTTTCTTAAAGACAATGCTGGTGTTGTTCATGACATTGTATTTTCTTGGCAATGTTTTTTATGCATCATTACATGAATATGTGGAACTACAGTGCCTTCTGAAGAATCATGATTAGGCTTACATGGATATGGCTGCTAGCATTATATTTTGATCAGAAGCAAGTTCAGTGAATTTCCCAATCATTTCATATATAAATTCTACTGCTTGACTGTATGGAGCTTATGGTATTCTTTTTGGCTGATACTTCTGGATATGGTATGGCTACTTGGACAAAGGCAAAATGGAATTATTAGTGGAGATGATGTCAGGAGAAACCAAATCTTATATCATGGGTGTGGATTTTTATTTCTTAAGCATCTTGGATATATCTCTGAACTTGAGAATGTATTATATCTTACTTCTCAACAAGATGAGGATGTGAACTGTTCTTAATCCATTGCTACCTTGATTACACTTCAAAGATATAAGCAACATACGTGGGTTTTACTATATCTGTCATAATATGAGGGTGCTAGTTTCTATCGCCTTTTTGCCCTTACGTGGGAGGAACTATTACTATTCATTATTATGTTTCTCTTGTTATTCCAATTAATGGTAAGCTTGGTCTCATTATCATTTTATGTTTTCTGTTTGTATCTTCTGAAACATTTGTTGCTTTCGATTTTAGTCTGCAATAGTGGAGCTTCTTTTATTATTGCAGGTAGGAGAGACTATTTAGGTAATGACTTGAGGGATAAACTTGAGAGAAGGCATTTATCACCTCGAAGGTACTCACCAGCTCAAGATGCAAGGAGCCGCCAGACCACTCGTGGTCAGACACATCTCTATATTTCTGCTTGCTCTCATTATTTTTAGTATCATTTATTAATGGGTAATGTACTTTTGCTGTCACTGCAGAAGGGAAATTTTGCAGTAACACATAGAAAGCTAGGATATGCCGACGGATCCTGGCTTTTTTGTTTTTTTTTTTAAAACGAGTGGGTCCCACTTTTTTTGTTTCTGCCACACCAAAAAAAGTGGTGCAGTGACAGCAGAAAAAAGGCACCCTTTATTAATATTGGTGAACCATGGAGGTGCAGTTTCACTATCACTTAAAAGAATGGTTTTTATTTCCATGATGGCAATTTTACTTTTCACATTCTGTGAGACTGATGTCTACAAAACCTTGAATGTTTCTGATATAACCTTTTTTTAGGTTTTAAGAGATCTGTAAGAGATCTTCAGAGACATAGCTTATTTCTATATATTTTGTCGTTGATTTTCTGTAAGCTATGAAGAATATTCATTGCTTCACTATGTTATGAACCTGTTTACCTGTGCATAAATGGGAGTTTGCATTTGTATATGTGGTTTTATTTCTCTGTGCACAGTATTATGTATCTTTGTGCTGATACACACACACACAGAGATATGCACATGCTGTTTTAATTAATGATTTTGTCCCTTTTATCTTTCCTAATGTTCCATGAATTAAAAATTGCAGAATTCAGTCCCTCAAGATCTTTGGAGAAAAAAAGGTGAATCAACATGAATCACTATTGATAATCTTTTGTTGTTGAATGTAAATGTACATTAAAATGTGCTATATTTGAGAGAGAAAACTGAGATTCATAGTTCTATTTAGAAAGAACGGATCGGCATTGATTTGGGAGAAACAACTGTTGAAAGGGGGATGGAGACTGGAAAAATGATGGGGGGAGACTTGATACGAATAATAAATAAGAGATGAACAAATTCAGAAGAAACATGCTAAGCACTCCAAAAGTGATAATATGTACTTCGTCTGCCATGAAATTTTCTACAGTTTTTAATCATGAGCTGATGAATATGAAGTTCCAATATCTTTGTTTTTTTTTTTTTCATTGTTGTTGGCTTTTGGTATTAATCTTCAAAATTATCCTTCATAACAGCCCCATGCTGTTAGCATGACAGCCTTATTGTTTAAAAGTGTTTTTTTTTTTTTTTCAATAATTACAGTGTTAGCAAAGTTTAAAATTTGATACCAAGAACTTGGTGAGGGAATTTATTGTATTGAAATTCCGTCCTCACTCCCCAGACACTTAATGACTGTAATGTGCCTCTCTTGGGCAAACCTTTATTTGTTCCTCTAATATATTTCATTTTGTTTCAGATCCTTATCCATGTTTTAGTCTAAATATCAGTTATGGCTGTTGCAGTGACAGAAGACATAGGAGAAAGCAGGGCATTACTCGCCAAAGTGATATTTCTGGAAGTTTGAAAGCCTCAGATAGAATTCAAGATCAAGTTAAAGAAGGAAAATTGCTTTCCTCTGGTTCTAGAAATACTCTTGAAGAGCAGGTTTATAAATTATGTTTAATCTCTATCACAAATATATGCAAAATATTCCTTTGTTTGTTCTGTGGAATCTCATGTTTGTTTTTATTCTTGGAACTGTGTGCAGCTGAAGAAAGTACATTCAGATATCAACACTCTTGAGAACCGAAAATTCCAACTAGCAGTTAGTTTCATCTCTTGCAGTTGCATTTCTTATCTTCTTTCTGTGTTTTGTCTTTGTTATCATGACATCTAAAAACATTGGTTTTGTAATGTAACCTAATTTTTTCTTTAGTTTGTGGACTTCCAAATCATTTGTTGGTTTTACTGAAACATATTTCTTATATGGTTGCACAATGATGCTTCCTGTCTTTTAAGGCATTGACTAGGTTTCAGCTTTCAATATGTGGAGTTTTATACTCTACAATCAAAAGACGTCTTGGCTTCATTATTTCTTAGTGTATATAACTATCATATGTTGTTAATTAATGATCATAGGGTGTCTTTTGTTATATTCTCTCTCTCTCTCTACCTAGTTTATTGTAAGCATTAATTTTGATTTACATCCCACTCCTGTAGTGTAATATTTGGTGGCTGAAGTTATGTGGATAGTGTTTTTAATGGAAGGAATATTCATTAGGTTTTTGTGGTTGGTATCTATGTTTTAAATAGTGATAGGGATTAATTAAACCTTAAGGCAGTGTTGTAGAAGCTTAGCCGGAGTGTTTTTTTCAAAATTATACAAACATATAAAATATGATTATATCAGACAAAATTTAATATATAAAATTTAACTTAAAATAAAGCATTGTAGTTTCCTCTCTATATTAAATACACTATTATGATTGATAAGTGAAGTGAACTTTTTTCTTAAATTAAAAATATGCTTTGAGAAAAGCAGTAACTATTAGTATCAAATGCAATTAAAATAGGGCCCAAAGGTGGACTGATAGTCATAGGCGACATCTGTAGCACTGCAATTAGCTATGGCTTCAGTACATTGTTAACTATGTTTTATTATAAAATAATATATCAAAATCTAAAAGGATGATAATAGTTTAATACATTGGAGTTTTTCTGGCAAGCTACAAGGTGTGCCTCTGTGCACTCCTTGATTATGCTTTTTAAAACAGGTTGTTACTTGCCCGCTGATGAAACTCAGAGTACGTCTTAGAATTTTTTTTTTTATTTTTTATTTTATGATTATTGTTATTTTTCCCACTTCTAGATAGCCATATTTTGCTTTTGTTGTGGAGAGTTTGAGCAAGTTTGTGGAATTAATTATTATATCCCCTGTCTGGTATAGTTATCGATGGGAAGTTGGGATGGGATGGCAGAGTACTTGCTTTGTAAGTTTAATCCCTGTTCAGAGAGTACAGATTGGAGTACAAAGTTATCTTCAGTGGTTTGATGCTTAATTTTGATACTGATATCGAAGTGTTGTTTGAAATGATGTCTTGAGAATATTAATGAAATTCACCCTCCAATCCATTGGAAAAAGAAAATGTGTTGTTTTTTTAGTTGTTGCTAATTATGCTGTTGGAGTTGGAATTAAATTCAAATCACATTTTTGACTTGGGATATACAAATGCATCTTTTTAAAGGTCTACCTAGATGAGAGTGTTCAAGAAGTGGATAGCCTTAATTCTAGAATTCAGGAACTTGAGGCTCAATTGTGCAAAGAGAATGAGGAGTGTAAAAGGTACTGGAATGTTTCAAAATGTATATGGTGATAATTTTTATTACCCCTCTCAATTACTTTGACCTTTCTTTATAATGATCTCTTTCCTGGCATTTCTTTGTTTCTTTGCTCTCCCTGGAAAACTCAGAATTACTTCAAGAATAAGGAAGTTTGTTAGAGAACACAATCATAACTCACAGTTACAAGATGAACTGAAGAGGCAAGTTACCATTTTCCCCAACTTTGTGCTGTAGTATGAATTCATGTCTTTTGATGTTCTTTGTTTTCTTGAATGCATTCTTTGTTTATTTATTTTTTGTAAACTCATGTATTCAATTCGCTTGTTTCATGTATAGGTCACAGGTCCGACTCCAAAGGTTTGGAGATCAGCTTGTCTCGGACATTTCTAGAATTGGTGCCAATGAAGAAGATTTAAGCATTGATATTGTCAGCAATGGTGAGAATACTGGTCTTCCTGCAATCATCAAACATAATGTGGAGCAGAATGATGTATCTCCCCACATGAAAAGACTGCATGTTGAACAAGATGCTGTAGAAGAGTTGAAACAAGGTATTAGTTTTGAAAACTATTGTGATTTTGGCTGTTTCTTGTTTACAGAAATACTGTGTCCTTTGTAATAGGGACTGAATCAGAAATTGGAAAAAATAGGAAGAAAAATGGAAATTTTATTGTTAATGCTCCTCCCCCTAGCTCTGAATCAGTGAGATTCCAGAGTCACGAGGACAAGAAGGAATTACAATGGTATCTCACTTGACCCAAGATTTTGAGAATTCTGGTCTCTACCTCCAAATCCCAACTACCGTAAAACAAAATCCCCCAACATTCTCTCTCAATCTCTTTGTAAATACAGTATGATTTTATTGAATGAACCTCCTCTGGTAATCCCCCAACATTCTCTCTCAATCTCTTTGTAGCCTGTTGATTGGAACCAGTCTAGAATAGCTGGAAAATACAGTATGATTTTATTGAATGAACCTCCTCTGGTAATCCCCCAACATTCTCTCTCAATCTCTTTGTAGCCTGTTGATTGGAACTGGTCTAGAATAGCTGGAAAATACAGTATGATTTTATTGAATTAACCTTCTCTGGTAGCAAGAATGAGTCTTGCTTGCGGAAGAGATAGCGGCTTATAGTATTATCTCCCTAACAAAAGCCTAATTGAATCTCTCAATCCCGTCCTTTATATATTGGTCCAAGTTATTCACTTGCTGCACTGACTGTCTAATAATTATTTTGCATTTCAGTTACAAGTCAGTTAGAATAATTCCAACTTCTACAGCCCGCATGCTTCTTATTCCTTCTAATATAAGTTGGGTTATTGGGGGTTTACTAATTGTAAAGAACCAATTCAACCCAAAAGCTTAAGCTATTGGGTGAGGCTACATCAATGGTTTTATATATATCTCAACACGCCCCTTCACACGAGAGTCCACTGGGCTTGAAGGGTGGACAATGCACTGGCCCACCTACCTGTGCAAAGAAAGAAATTCCACTAGAAAGAAAGTGGAGGGCGGTGAGGATCGAACCCGAGACACGAGGCTCTGATACCATGTAAATAACCAATTCAACCCAAAAGCTTAAGCTATTGGGTGAGGCTACATTAATGGTTTTATATATATCTCAACACTATCACCTGTCTGCCAAAATCTGTTTTCTAACTAATAATCACTCACTCACTCTAACTCCCTTAACTGAGAGTGGCCTAATCGGCCCATTGGTCTCCCGCCCTATGTCTCCTAACATATACTTTCCTAATTCGGGTCTGCTGGTAACAATTTGCTAAACAAAAGACTTGGAGGCTCAAAACTGGAAATTTCTTCCATCTATATGTGGGGATGTATCTGTCAGACCGCCCATACTCAAGCAAGTATCTGTGACCTTTTCTATATTGTGAAGAATAATGCAGAGTTGTCCGTTAAGGGCTTATGTTTTATAACTCATGATTTTGGACCACAAGCATTTTGGGGATTGTTATTCAGTGGTTAATTATAAATGGACTAGTTTCACCCAATTCTCATATAGTCATATGCTTGTTTCCTGTTAATATTCAATAAGAACATAAAAGTATACATGTGTACAGGCTGTTCTAGCTTAGTCTGTGTTGCCTTGGTAGTAAATATTCAATTTTTGCTGGCCTTGCACTAGAGATATGGCAGACTGCTTGATGCTGTTGCAGATTGCCAAAATCATATCTTCATAATTTTATCATGGATTTTGATTGTCCTGTCAAGTGAATGTATCTGATAATTAAACTTGGATACTATTTTGATCGTTAGCTTGCTTAGGTATCATTTTACAATAATTTCATTTGGAGATAAGCACATTTCATTTCAGCTCGTGATTTCTTTATCATCGTGTTTTGCTGAATATGTTTCAATTTTTCTTTTAATTTGGCCACCAGTCATTTTACAATAATTATCATCGTGATTTTTTTTTGGGTTCATTTAGCACCGACCCCAACTAATTTGAAATAAATGTGTTGTTAATTTTGGCCACTAGTCATGGTTATTGTAATTGCACTTTTGATATTTTTTATGATGTATCTGTAACATGCAAGCAGATAGATTGAAAGATGGGCATTTTGTTGAGACAGCAAGAACCAGAAAACGTTCTCGTTGGAATTTGGATGCTGAATTGAATGACAGGGGTAACGAGGGTTTTGAGGCCCCAAACAACGGAACTGAAGTTAATAGGCCCCCAGATCTTGAAGGCAAGCACAAGAGAGGAAAATGGAATTCTTTTAACAATTTTGGTTCAGAAAAGGTACAAATTCAATTAATTTCATGGTAGCTCTGCCTCTGCTCTCTCGATAAAATAAACCTTGTTTTGATGTGTTGCATTCTTCATGTTTTTGTTTCTTTGGTAATGCCCTTTTCTTTTGTTTCATACTTTCATTCACACATTAAACAGCTGTATATCTTGCGTGTCTTAAATAAGATTTTCGAAAGTTCACCATTGTCATTGCAAATGACCTTTTCCATTCTTAACCATCAATATGCAGTTGAAGGAACCCAGGATTGAAGTACCATCAACCAGCATGGCAGCTCATGTGGTTGATGAGGAAGTTGAGATTGAACTTGATGATGGAACTGATATCAATGAAACTGCAAACACAGTGAATGAGAATGGGGTGGCATTTGAAGTGAAGGGCGTATCGCTTATGTTTCCCCCAGCTTTGATTCCTCGTACCAATTATTCACAGGTTAGTTCTTCTCAGGGGTACATTTTTCACTGCCTTAAAAATTAGCACTTTTAGCAAGCATTTGTAAGAGTGTTTTAACTTCATGTGCAGTATGAGGGAAACGACGAGCAAGTGGATGTGGGTGTGGATGGTCGTGATGAAGAGGCAGCGGGGGCACATGTGGATATAGTTTAATTAATATTAGTGATTTCTAACTTCTTTTGGTGGCTTAAAAGTAGTTGTTGAAAGGGTCAATATCTTGAACATAGTATTTTCAAATGGGATAGGATGCAAGATAGTGGAACAAGAAAGAAGTAACTTAAATATTTTTTCTATGTTGGATGTAATGATACATTTTGTATTAGTGGATATAAATTGTTATCCAATGCTTTCGTACATGCCATATTTATGGTTTTGCTTAAGCTGAATGTCTCTATTGATTGTAGGACTTGATGATGCTATATACCATGTAATCCTCTGATGTTTATGCTCTTTTTTCCCCCTGTTCTTTTAGGCATTGGATTTGTTTTTTTAGTTACAAATCCATAACTTGCAATTTTTACATTTTCTAAAGGTTTTTTGGTTCTCCGTATCAAAAAGATTACTAGGGATTTTAGATGATCAAATTCACATATATACTGCCCCTTTCTATTCGGTCCGTTATATCTTTGTAGGGGCTAGTGTCCAAGATCCTGCCATGATTCTTGTTTCGGATGGCCCAAACACTGTAGCGGCCCAGCTGTTCAGGCCCAGTCCTTAGCTCCAACCTGCGTCAGCCCTAAGGGCTGACGTGGACCCTCTCATCTCCCAACGTTGCAGCACGTCCAAGGGATACACCGAAGTGTCCCATCTTGGGACGCTAGCCCCCAAAAGCGACCGCCACAGGCACCTTAAAGGGAAACTACCCTTTTGCCCGGTGCTGACATCGCCAGACGCAGAGGGCGCAGCGCTGCCACAATGGCAGCGCCAACACGCCTAACACTGCCATCATGAGAGTAAACCCCAAGGAAGGTTGACCCCCTCCTCACCAACCCACACCATTTTCCCTATAAATAGCCCCCAAGGGCACACCTTGAAGGTATCTTATGTATCGTTATATTGTCCATTTACTTAGAGTCATATTGTCATCTTTACTTATCCCTTGTTGATTAACTGCTATTACTTGGCACAATACTCCTTAGCTTGGTCTGTACCTGTGCTAAGGGTATCATCCATACAGTGACTCATCCCCAAAGGGAACATAATGAGCTTATAGATCCCAACGGTGCATTGGCGCCACCTGTGGGGAACTATAAACTTTTATTCTCATTCTCCTACCAAAGATCCGTCTATCGGATTATTCCCGTTTTTCTACCAAACAACCGCAAGACGCATTTTACAACTAAACATGGTTGTCACCACCAGGAGAGCAGAACAAGCCAGTGCCATAACGCCAGAAGGGCACGTACAAACAGTACGCTCAAACTCCCCGCCATCCATGCATTCAGCCCCAGCTGAGCGAGCCGTTGGCGAGGCCCTTCCCCTGGTGCTACAGTCTGTCGGTCCACAATTACCAACAGCTGGCGCTAGGATAGCACAGCAGAATCATCACGTCGCCATGCGTGAAATGCAAGGGGAAAATTTGGTCTCAAACCATCCCCCACCCCCGGGAGTTCATTTCGGAATGCCATTTCCCACAGCTATTCCGCAAGCTGTCCATCTCGCCCACCGTCCACTACCGGCCCAAAGTCAACCCGTGGCAATATACAATGACCATCGGGATCCCGTGGTCGCCCCGTACCCCCCTAGACCTTACACACGTAACATGGCTGCCCCATTCCAACAACCTTACCAGGCTGGCTTTCCATTCCATGGTTACGCCATGCAACCCCATAACCTAGTCATTCCTCAACCCCAGGCATCTTGTTCGAATCCTAATCGGCAACCGTATGGCGCTCACCAAGCCTTTCAGCAAGCCCCAGTCCTCTTATACTCAGTAGAAGCCCCACAAATACCTCATCCTCAACCAGACCAACATATGCACAACCCCAATATCAGAATAACGCCTGCTCACACGTCAGGGCGTAACAAACCTTTGACCGACAGCTTGAGGCTGACCCTCATACCCCTCGGGTTCAAGGGTCCTTCTAACATCACCACATATGTTGGCGACACCGATCCTTTTGAGTGGATCCAAAAAATCGAAGCAGCAATGACACTTCATGGCGAGACGAATCTCCTCATGTGCAGGACTTTCCCAACACTTCTGGGAGGGAGAGCGCTGACATGGTACACCACCCTACCAACTGGTAGCATTGCGTCCTGGGACGATCTAGCAAGCAAGTTTCAGTCCCATTTTGCAACCAGCCGCCCTGTGCCAAAGTCCGTCCATTCCCTTGAAAAGATTCGACAACGATCTGGTGAGTCCCTCCGATCCTTCCTAGACCGTTTTGATAAAGAGGCCCTACAAGTGCAAGGCTTAGATCCAAAGGTGCAGGTGCACATACTCCTGTCAGGCTTGCGATAGGGAGAGTTCGCATACGAGCTCGCCCGCCATGAAATTACTGACTTGGAAGAAGTCAAGAAGAAAGCCCAAGAATTCATGAGAATTGAGGAATACAAAGGGAGTCGAGTGGATGACTCCCACAATCAAGAAAAAACGGTCAGTAAAGGAAAGGAAAAAACGGTCAGTAAAGGAATACCAAACATCCACCCGTTCCAGTCGCCCTTCAGGGCGAGACACATCAGAACGCAGATCACACAGTGTCCTGCAAACCGAATACAAAGAAGAGCCCAAGAGTAACCAACGGCCGCAACAGCCAACTAGAGAAGCCACAACATACTGCAAATATCACCGCAGCAATGGCCACAACACGGAGGAATGCAGGCGCCTCAAGGATGAGATTGATGAACTCATCAAGGGCAGTACTCAAAGGCGTGGAGGTGATAGTGCCCGTCCTGCCGGAAATAGAAGGCGACACCGTGATCGTAGCAAGTCGCCAGAAAGGAGGAGGACCAATCAGCCCAACGCTCGATCCCACCGCGAACGAGATAGCAGAGAAAACTCGCCACAAAGAACCAGAGCCCAAGCAAGCCCCAGCCGTGGAGGAAGGCGCAGGGAAGAAGAAGAAGACTCAGCTGTCATCAAACATTGAGTGATTAACATGATCTCTGGTGGATTGAGCGGAGGGGGAAAAACGTCGAACGCCAGAAAGAAACACTTGAAACAATGCTTGGCGGTTGCAGGCAATGTGATCAGCAAAGTAAAAGACGATTGTGGTCCAGCCAGGCCTAAAATCGTTTGGGATAGTAGCGATTTGGGCGACGTTCTCCCAGGACATGACGACCCACTCGTCATTCAAGCAATAATCGCCAACTTTGGCATTAATCGTGTATTTGTTGATCACGGCAGTTCTGCTGATATCTTGTTCTTACCATGTTTTAAGGCGTTAGGATTTACGGTTAATGATTTAACTCCTGTCACAGGTGAACTCTCAGGATTCAATGCTACCACCACCAAGCCACTGGGAGTGATAAACTTACGTCTCTCCCTTGGAACACCGCCAACTTCGCGGTCTGCAGACATCCAGTTCCTGGTGCTTGACACGCCATCAGCTTATAACGCCATTCTCGGCAGAAGGATGTTCGCCGCCTTTGAGGCAAGTGTCTCACACCCTCATTTGGCGATGAAGTTCATAGCCAGAGATAATAAAGTCGCGACAGTGCGAGGAGATCAAATAGTAGCCCGGAGCTACTACAACATATCCTTGAGACCAATGATCAAGGTTACCTTCAAAGATGAGATGGCACCCCAACAGAAGACAACCCCACCAGCAGAAGGAAGTCCTGGCGAGATGGGGAAAGAACACAGCCAATGCTTCTTAGTGGAATTCGACGCCAGGGACGATCCTAAAGTGGAACACGCCAGACCCACGCCAGATGGAGCGTTGGAACACGTTGTGTTAGGCGATGCGAATCACCAGACTACAACAATTGGGGCGACCATTGATCCCGAAGTGAAAGGCATGTTGATCCAGCTGTTAAAAGATAACAAAGATTTGTTTGCTTGGAAACCGTCAGATATGCCAGGTATTGACCCAGAAGTATGCTGCCACCGTTTGTCGGTGGATCCTAAAGCAAAGCCAGTTTCACAGAAGAAGAGGAAGTTTGGTTTCGATCGCCAGAAGGTCATTGATGAGGAAGTTAAGAGACTCCACGACGCCGGGTTCATCAGGGAAATCAAGTACACAACTTGGTTGTCCAATCCAGTATTGGTAAAAAGGCCGAATGGCGCGTGGAGAATGTGTGTTGACTACACTGACCTCAACAAGGTCTGCCCCAAGGATGCCTATCCTTTCCCCAACATCGATCAGTTGGTCGATAACGCATCAGGTTTCAAAATGTTATCTTTCATGGATGCATACTCTGGCTATAATCAAATCCCGTTACTGGAGGAAGACCAAGACAAAACGGCGTTCATCACCCAGAACGCCAACTACTGTTATACGATGATGCCTTTCGGATTGAAGAACGCTGGGGCCACGTATCAAAGGATGATGAACGAAGTGTTCAGAGACCTGATCGGTAATTGCATAGAAGTCTATATTGATGATATGATCGCCAAATCAAGAATGCCAGAACAACACTTGTCAGACCTCCAAGGCGTGTTCGAAAGATTGAGGAAGTATAACATGCGCCTTAACCCCAGCAAGTGCGCTTTCAGCGTTCCCGCTGGCAAATTCCTAGGCTTCATGCTTACGGAACGAGGCATAGAGGTCAACCCTGACAAATGCAAGGCAGTCATTGAAATGCGAAGCCCGCAAACAATCAAAGAGGTTCAATAACTGACTGGAAGGTTAGTAGCTCTCACCCGATTTCTGGCAAATTCGGCACATAAGTCTCTTCCCCTTTTTAGCTTGCTTAAAAAAGGGACCACCTTCCGGTGGTCGGAAGAATGTGAGAAAGCCTTCCAAGAGTTCAAAAGGGCTCTCTCTTGCCCACCAATACTCGCCAAACCAGACCATGGAGAGATGTTGCATTTGTACCTCGCCGTAGGTACCGAGGCGATCAGTGCAGCCCTAGTCAAAGAATCGAAAGAAGGACAAAAGCCTGTCTACTTTATCAGCAAAGTTTTACAAGGAGCTGAGCTTAGGTACCAACAAGTTGAGAAGGTTGCATTGACACTTATCTTTACCGCAAGGCGATTGAGACCCTATTTCCAATGCCATCTAATCACTGTCAGGATCAATCAGCCAATCCGTCAAGTTTTGCATAAGGCCAACTTGGCCGGAAGAATGATGTCCTGGGCGATAGAGTTGTCAGAGTACCAAATTGCCTACGAACCAAGAATCGCCATTAAGGCTCAAGCCCTTGCAGATTTCATCGTCGAAATGACGCAAAGCCCCCTTCCTGAGAATCAGACAGCAGAAATGCCTTCATCTGGGATATGGAAACTATATGTCGACGGCTCGTCAAACACCAAAGGATCAGGTGCAGGGATGATAGTAGAAAATCCAGAAGGCGTGGCCGTCAAACATTCCTTGTCTTTTGAATTCAACGCCACTAATAACCAGGCAGAATATGAGGCCATGATAGCTGGCTTGCTCCAAGCAAAAGAAATGGGAGCCCGACGTCTCAAAGTCTTCAGTGACTCCCAGTTGGTAACCTTTCAAATCTCCGGCGAGTACCAAACCAAAGGACCATTGATGTGCAGATATCTAAAAAAGGTTAAAGAACTAATTGAAAGTTTCGAAGGCGTTGAGGTGGAGCATATCAGGCGTGCTGAAAATACTCGGGCAGATATTCTCGCCAAGTTGGCGAGTACCAAAAGCCCAGGTAACAACCGATCAGTAATCCAGCATAACATGCCAAGCCCATGCATCGTCATGAGCATCTCAAATTCGGCCTAAGAGGTCGCCGAAGAAACCTGGACAACACCCATTGTCAACTACTTGGCTGAAGGGGTCCTAACCCATGATCGAAAAGAAGCTCAAAAAATAGTGCGACGAAGCGCACATTTTTGCCTAGTACAAGGACGGTTATACAAGCGTGGGCTCTCAACCCCACTCCTGAAATGTTTGAATCCTAGTGACGTTCAATACGTGATTGAAGAAATCCATGAAGGAATCAACGGCCACCACATGGGCGGTCACTCGCTAGTAAAGAAAGCATTGAGAGCGGGGTTTTACTGGCCGACCATGGAGCGAGACGCCCATGAGCACGTTAAGAAGTGCGAAAAGTGCCAGAAGTTTGCTGATATACACAAAGCACCACCTGAAGAGTTGACGTCAATCACCTCGCTATGGCCTTTCTACAAATGGGGAATTGACATTCTGGGCCCTTTCCCTATAGCGGCTGGCCGAGTCCAATGGTTGATTGTCGCCATAGACTACTTTACCAAATGGGTAGAGGCGGAACCTTTAGCTACAATTACGTTCCAAAAAGCAACGAGGTTCTTCTGGAGAAGCATCGTCTACCGATTCGGCATTCCCGGAGAAGTCATCACAGATAATGGTACTCAATTCACCGACGCCAAATTCCGCGAGCTGATGAGCAGTCTACAGATCCGACATCATTTTGCCACAGTTGAACACTCTCAATCCAACGGCTTGGTGGAGTCGGCTAACAAAATGTTAGGGAAAGGAATCAAGAAGAAGTTGGAAGGGAACAAAGGAGCATGGTTAGACAACCTTGACAACGTCCTATGGGGATACAGGACAACCGCCCAGTCTTCCACTAGAGAAACGCCTTTCAGGCTGACTTACGGCACGAAAGCGCCATGATTCCTATAGAGATCGGTGAACCCTCATGGCGACGAGAACACGTGACCGAGGTCGCCAACACCCAAAATTTAAAAGAAGCATTGGACCTGCTGGACGAACTAAGAGGATATGCCACTCAATCCGATCGCCAGACGAAAGAAAGATCAGCCACTTGTTACAACAAGAAGGTCATTCCTCGAAGTTTTGAAGAAAAAGATCTAGTTCTTAGAAGAGCAAACGTTGGAAACAAGAACGCCTGAGAAGGAAAGCTCGCCCCAAATTGGGAAGGGCCCTATCAGATAACAAACAAACTGGGAAAATGAGCTTACTCCCTCGAGACACTGGAGGGGAAAGCGATCCCAAGGGCGTGGAACGCGGACAAGCTCAAAAAGTATTATAGTTAAAACGACATGTAATATTGTCTGCACTCTTTTCCTTCCCTACGTTTTTGTTCCAATGGGTTTTACGGGGAAAGGTTTTTAACGAGGCAGGTTTGCAAGTTTTCAATAAATAACAACGCCAGTTCACAAATTCTATGTCAAAGCAAAAACGCCCAACTAACGGGATGGTTCTCACCCCCCGCCACGGTTGGACTGGGATGGTTCTCACCCCCAGCCAACGCCCAACTAACGGGATGGTTCTCACCCCCGCCACGGTTGGACTGGGATGGTTCTCACCCCCAGTCAACGCCCAACTAACGGGATGGTTCTCACCCCCGCCATAGTTGGACTGGGATGGTTCTCACCCCCAGCCAACGCCCAACTAACGGGATGGTTCTCACCCCCAGACAACGCCCAACTAACGAGATGGTTCTCACCCCCGCCATAGTTGGACTGTGATGGTTCTCACCCCCAGCCAATGCCCACTTAACTAGAGGAAATATAAATGATTAAGAAGTCAAATCAAAAGCACGAAAGGAGAGGAAATTCATTAATATTTTTAATGGCAAGAGTACAAGCCCGCGGTTGACATACCAACCACAGCAAAAAAGCAGAGAAATAGCAATGTTACTAAGCCTATGTATTGGTCGTGACCATCTCAGCATCTTGCGCCTGATCAGTCACGTCCTTCTCAACTGCCTGTGTACCCACCACCTGAGCTGGAGCGTCCACCGCGTGCTCTGACCCAACCGAGCCAGTAACACCACCTCCACTCGCCATACCAGGGTCAATCAAGGTCTCGCTGATAAGCTCGATTAGCATGCCACGCCCAGCATCCTCCTCCTCGTGATCATCATCACTACCAGCATCAGTGGTTGGAAGCATTCCTCGCGCGCCTTCGTCGTCATCAGTCTCCGGCGCCACCTCGACCACCCTGATGGCGTCACCCCCAAGGCGCTCAATAATCTTGCCATCCTCCACCTCATAATCGGGAGTGAAACCGGTCAAATCGGC